GGGCGAGGAGGAGGCTGCAGGACAGGTCGACGTCGACGCCGACGTCGACCGCCGGCTGCCCCGGGGCCCCAGATCCGCCCAGGACGCGCCGGAAGAGAAGGAGGAGGATGAGGGGGGGGCGGCGGCCTCGTCAGCAGCCTCGGGCACAGCCGCGCCAGCGTCCACCCAGCACCGGGGAGCGACGCGCCGGCGTCCACCCAGCCATGCAGGGGCGCGACGCGCCGGCGCCCACCCACCCAGGGCCAGGAGGGAACGAGGGGGGAGGAGATAGTGATGGACAGGGCGAGGAGGAGGTGGCAGGACAGGTCGACGGCGACGACGACCTCGACCGCTGGCTGCCCACGAGCCCCAGATCCGCCCAGGACGCGCCGGAGGAGGAGGAGGAGAAGGCGGCGGCCTCGTCAGCAGCCTCGGCTACAGCCGCGCCAGCGCCCACCCAACAGCCCCTAGGGGGGGGCGACGCGCCGGCGCCCACCCGGCCAGGGGCGCGACGCGCCGGCGTCCACCCGCCCAGGTCGGCCAGCCTCAGGTACCACGCCTAAAGGCTGCGCGGTGGCATCCTTGTTGTCGGGCAAGGGCCAGGAGGAAAAGGGCGAAGAGGAGGGGGAAGACGACGGCGCCATGAGCGCCTGGCCCCCCTAGAGCCCTGACGCAGTGGGAAAGGAGCAGGAGGGGGGGATGGGCGCGGCGTCAGCAGCGCCGGCCGCGCCCCAAACGCTGCACAGCTGGCTCCGGGCCGGTTCGGCTTCGGGCGCGGGGCAAGGCGCGCGCGGGGGCTTGCGCAGCTGGCTGCCGCCGGCCGCCCCCCCGCGGCGGAAGCGGATGAGGAGCAAGACGGCCCCCCCGCCGCTGCCGCCAGGCCTGGGCGCGGGCCCCAAGGAGGCGCCGGACGACCAGGTCCTGGAAGAGGACTTGCCGCAGGAGCAGCAGGCCGGGCCAATGCCCAGACGCAGAGTCGACAAAAGGCCCGAATGGGACAGCGTCAACAGGCAGCCGTTGGGCCAGTTCCTGAAGCGGGGAAAAACTAAGGACTGGCTGTGCCCGGGGCGCGGCCACCAGGTGAAGGGCAGGAAGGGCGCCGGGATGCAGTGCCACCGCGACAAGCACATCTACCAGGCCCACCCCAGGATGGACCGGAATATGTTCTTCTTCAGAAAGGGCACCCTGGAGGTGGTGGACCCGAAGCCAGAAGAAGAGTGGCGAGCAGTGCTCCGTCTCCGTGCGAACGTGCCGTTACCTCAGCACTATCGGGCGGCGCGCCGCGGCGGGCGCGGGAAGATATGGCCGCTTTTGGACGCCGAGGTCATCGCCAGAAGCAGGAGGGGGCACCATCGCAAGGAGCATGGCGTCAAGTGGAAAACCACAACCGACTGGCACCGCCAGAATAACGGCAACGAGCCGCGGGCGGGCCCGGGTGAAGGCCCCGCAGAGGGGATGGGTCGGTCGGGCGGCGCGCGAGGCGGCCGTTGCCAGGGCGGCGCGCGTGGCTGCCGCCGCGAACGGCGGCTCTGAAAAGGAGGGGCGGGCAGCCGCCGTGGACTGCTCAGCGGCGACGTGCCCGCCCCCCCCCCCCAGCGCCCGCAGCGCTCAGAGGAGGGGGAGGCGTGGCGCATGTGCGCGAAGGGACGCTGTGGTCATGCATTGTGGCCTCAGAATCAGGGGCCCGGCAGGTCACCCGGCTGGCGCTGGACCGAGAAGTCGGCGCGGCGCGCTTGCAGGAAGCTGCGCAAAGGGGAGGCGACGTCTCTGCAGGAAGCGGTGGCGAAGCGAGGGTACAAGGCTTTCTGGCAGGCAGGGCGCGCCGACGCATGAGGTAACCAGCAGGGAGGTCTGCTCACCCTGGTCACCAAGAAGCTTCGCTCAGTGCGCCAGTGGTCCCGGGGCACTGCGGAAGGGCAGGTCTTGGCCGTGCAGGTCGGGGGCGTCGCGCTCTTCAACGTGCGGGTGCAGCCCAAGAAGAGGGTGCCCGACATCGCGCGGGAAAAATCAGACAGCGCGCACCTGGACCAGTCGCCCGCTTGGCTCGCCGTGGGCGATTGGAACGCGCTGCCTGGCGAGGGCTGCCCCCCGCGGCGGGCTGTCGCATCGGAACAGCAGAGGCCGGCGACGCCTGGCTGCCCGCGAGGTGGGGCGGGGGCAGATGCATTGACTTCGGCGCTTCGTGGGGCGTCAAGGTAGACAGCACCGAGCTTCTCAGCGACGCCATGTCTGACCACGAGATAGTTGATGCGCGAGCTTACTTCTGCCCTCACGAGAAAGCGGTCCGGGAGCGGCGCCCCGGCCCCCGCGCCCCGGCGGCCATGCCGGAAGGGGCCAGCAAGGAAAGGTGGATAAATGTCACCGCGCATCTTTGGCTCCCTGGCACAGGCGGCGCGGGGGGCCACGACCACGCATGGAAAGACTTCGACAGCGGCGGCGTCGAGCCAGGGTCGGCCGAGGCGCAGCGCTGGATTGACCGGACCTGGGGCTCGTTCTCGGCGGCCGCAGCCCAAGTCCTGGGCGAGGCACGTGCCATCTTGCTCTATGAGCAGCAGCAGGAAAGGGACTTCGCCACAGGAGTTGAGGAGACCAGGGAGGATGGCGCCAGGGGAGGAGGAGGCTGTTCTGTGGAGGAGAAAGAAGAGGACGTCGAGGCGGCGGCAGGGAGGACACGAAAGGAGGAGGAGGCTGTCCTGAGGAGGAGGAGGAGGAGGAGGAGGAGGAGGAGGAGGAGGAGGAGGAGGAGGAAGAGGAGGAAAAGGACGACGAGGCGGCGGCAGGAACACACTCGAGGAGCGATGCGGGCCCTGTCCAGACCAGGTCGTCCAACCCCCGTGACAGCAGGGGGCGCCGCCGAGCGAGTAAAGGTGAGGTCCGCTTGGAGGAGGTCCCTTGGAGCGTCGCGCAGTGCAGTCTGCCCAGCACGTTCAAGGAACGACGCCCCACGAATGTATTGCCTCGCCTGCGCCGCCTCAGGAGGCTAGAGAGCAGCGGCGACGGACGGAGCCTGGAGGCCCAGACGCTCCACAGGAAGGTCGTGGGTCTGCTCGAGGAGGCGATGGGGCCAGGCCAGAGCCTCCGCCGCGCGCAGTCCATCCAGGAGCAGACTGCAGCGGTCAGCCGTGATCTGGACAGGACACGAGCCGAGGCAAAGCAGGAGAGGCTGCAGCGGTGGCGTCACTGGATGGAGTCGTCGCCCCGGCAGGTACACACCTGGCTGACGCTGCCCCCAGACATTCTTGTCTTCGAGGTGGAAGGGAAGCCTACCGGCTCCTCCGGGGAGTCGCTGGAGATGCTGGTGCGGAGGTGGGGGAAAGCGTGGGGCCGCCCCCTGCCAGAGAAGGCGAAATGGCCCGCTAAGGTGGCGCGCTGGGGGCCAAAGCTGCCGGAGGAGCAGCGGCGGCCCTTGGGCGGCTACCTGTGCATCAGGAGCTCCTGCGGGGTAGCTCTGCCGGGTCTCGCTCGAGGGCCAGGCTCTGCCAGCGGGCGTGCTCTCCAAGAGCGCGGAGGCGATGAAGAACGCGAACGGCGCGACGGCGAATTTCGCCAAGTGGTACGCGAGGGTCCTCGACCCGAGGGCCGTCGAGCATTCTTTCCGAGTGAACGGCGTGAAGATCGAAGCGAACCAGTTTCGCTGCGCGCTCGTGTCCAGCGGACGCCAGCAGCGCGTGCTCGGGCTGGTGCCCGTCGACTTCAGGGACGGCGGGCCGGCGACCACCGCCGGACAGAAGTTCCAGCCTGATAGTGTTTAGGGGCTCCCGACGCCCCCTTCGACTCCAATCTCACACCGGAGTTCAGCGGGCGCCCGCTCAAACCCGTAGTGTTGTTGTCCCAGCCAGGCCGCGAGGGTATTGTCGGCGAGTCCGGATGCGCTGGCTCACCCTGCCAGGGTTTTTCGCGTCGCTTTGAACATTGGGGGCGCTGTTGTCTGCCCGCCGAAAGACGATCGCCTCCTCTGCGAGGTGTCTCGGCACGGGCGCCATGAGGCAGGTGGGCGAGGGAGACGCGCTCTCCTGCGTGACTGATGCTGATGGGCTTGTTTTCCACTACCACCGTAAGCTGGAGGGAGAGGGGGTCCTCCTCCTCCTTCTCGTCGTCTTCCTCCTCCCCCACCTCCCCCCCCCCTCCAACTTCTGGTGGTGGTGGAAAAAATGCCCATCATACGCAGCGCTCACGGATGCCAGGGGGGGCGGGGTGGGGAGGGAGGATCGTGGTCGGCGCGTAGCAGAGTGCCCGCGCGCTTACTCGAGCGGGGCGCCGCAAGCGGCAGGCGTCGCCGCGCGCGGGGCCTTCACTGTGCCGAAAAAACAGGCGAGCTGGGGATCGACGTCTCGCCAGGCGCGCGCGTGTGCGCCGCCTGGGGGCGCGCCCAATCTCTGACACCCTGAGCACCCACGGCGCGCGCACCGAGGTCCTCGCGACACTCGCGCCGGGCCAGGGTTTGACGGATCTCCTGGGCGCTGAGGCGCACCCCGCGCGCTCTGCGATTGTGGCCGATGCCGCGGTGAATTCTGGTCCCACCACTTTCCAGATCACTTGTTGCATCAGGCCTGCCGTCTCCTCTTCGGCAAACGCCGCCTTCGGAGTGGCAGCGGGGTGGTGGACGTCGATGTGGCGAGCAGCGCAGGCCCAGCCTTCTGCGGTTCTACCAGTCCAGATTGGATAGAGGCGCATCTTTGCACCCAGTCTCTGCCTGGCGTTCAGGCGCGGTTCAACGCTCGCGGCATTCCGAGGGCCGAGAGTGGGACCACTAAGTGTTGCGTCGTGCAGCTGGACGTCACGCCTCCGGACGCGGCAGTTTCCATGGCGGCTGCGCCTTTGCGCCGTGGCCTCTCGGCGGTGGCTGTGATACTCTCGAGGGTGCGCAGATGGGCCTGTCGGTCCGCCGCGATAACGTCGCGCTCATCGGGGCAAGCCGGCTGTTTCTGCTGGCGCGCGGCGCGCGCGGATGTGACCGACGCGGATCCCATCAGCGACGAGAAGCACTCATTAGAGCAGATCTTCAAGGTCTCGTCGACCGCAGTGTGCATTCTCAGCGACCCGCCGGCGCAGGTCAACTTGGTGGGTAACGGTGATTTTCTTCAGATGCCCGCGAACCGTCTGGACAATGAAGCTGCGCTCATACTCGCGTCCGTTGCTCTGTGGCCGACTCCAAGGCCAAGCTCTGGCAGCGCCGCCGGAGACGCGTGTCCGATTGTTCCGATTGAGCGCGTTACCAAAGGGTCCAAAGATGAAGTTAGCGTTGACGCACGGTCTCGCGGCGGAGTGGATGGCAGTCCTAACGACGATCATCGCGCAGCAGTCAAGGCTTCCGGCCATCTGCCGCAGGATGGCATTTCGACCGTGAGATCGGTTGTTGGGTGGACTGCTAATCGGAGGATGGGCCAGGGTGAAATCGATAGAAATTAAGACCGTAGTGAGATGGACCGTGGTGTCTGGTGGTGTCCAGTGGTGTCTCGTGGCCCCCCGTGGTCTTGCATGTCATTTGCATGTTCCTCTTACGAAGTGAGCGCGCGGGCTAATTCAAGCATGTTCAAGCCACCTGATTCCGCTGGTTGCCCCGATGCTGTGGTGTCTCGTAGTGGATTCGAATGCTAGATAGATCGATCGTGGAATCGATCGTGGTGGTCGCGGGTTACATCGATAGTGAGATCAAACTATACATTGATGCACGTATCGAGAGTGATACAGGCAGTGAAACGATAGATAAATCGGTCGTGGGGTCGAAGGTGGGATCCATGATGAGATCGATTATGAAATCGGTAGTGAGATCGATAAATGGTAAAATCGCCCGATCGGGGGATATCTGTATTGAGAGAGGTAGTGGGATCGATGATGGGATCGATAAACAACGATATTGATAGTGGGATCGACCGTGGTGTCCCCTGGTGTCTCGTGGTGCCGTGGTCTTGTATGTGTTTGCTTTGCATGTTCCTATGACGGAATTTGCGCGGGCAATAGATGCCACATGTTTCCGTTTGTTGTTTGAAAAATGGTGTACAGGTAGATCGGCACATTGGCAAGCATATCGATTTGTACGTTCGAAGTACGTTCTTGATCAGACAAGCAGGTGTGCAAATAAAACCCATCTGGTTCCGCTGGTTGCCCCGATGATTCAATTGTAAGCCACCGATCTGCGAATATATTGACAAGCGGATTGCCCTGCATGTTCGTAGTACGCTCCAGGAGCAAGAGGGCGCGTGCAACCAAATGCCACCTGCTTCCGCCAGTTTCCCTGATCACCCCCGATGGTTCTCAAGGGCGCAATCAGGACACCGTCGGTGGTGCTCCGTGCTGCTCAGCACATTTCCGCCGAGCCCGACTCGACCCCCATCGCACACCAAAGGCTGACCCCCCCTTTCACAACATCCTCATCACCCGAAGGGTGGCCGTGTAGGTTTTTACTGGATTTTGGTATGGGCTTCTCTTCCGTCGGCAACCCAGCTGCCGACGGCGAACCGGCCACCACCCTAGCGCCGTTTCAACGCGCATGCAGGAGGGTTCTGCCAGGCTCGGGCGACTCAGGGCTTGACAGACACTGGTCGGGGCAGTGTGCGAGGCAGCGCCACGGTGCTATAACGTGGCGTGGTCGTGATCTTGTGTGGTGGTTTCGATGCCTCGTTGGGAGCAGGAGTGCGAGGAGGAGGAGGAGGAGGAGGAGGAGGAGGAGGAGGAGGAGGAGGGCGCGTCACCTATTTGAGCCCCCTTTAGGGAATTCTCGGGTGCCTCGCGGTGGCGGGTGGATGGCCGCCTCTCGGGCTTTCGGGGCCCGTCGGGCGTCTTGGGGCTGTCTTGGGCGCGCTGGCTCTACCGACCTCCCCCCAGGAGAGGCCCGCTCGACCCGTACTTGGGACCGTCTGGACGGGTCACGGGTTCTTCTGGAAGCCCTCGGGTTTTTTGGAGGTTGCGCGGGCCGTCTTGGGGATCTTGTGGCCTCGAGGGAACGGCGAGTTCACCTGCAGGAGCCTCGGCCAGATCAGCTGTCCTTCTCCAAAGGGGGCGGCGCGATGGCGCGAGGGTGCGAAGAACATCGCGCATCGCGAGGCCCGATGCGCGAATCCCACCAGCCCTCTGGGCGTAGGTGGTCTAGGGAGCTTCCTCTTCCAACCCCCTTTCGTTCCCCTTCGGGAAGGGGTTTACCCCTCCCCCTTTTGTTCCCCTTTTGTTCCCCTTCCCCTCCCCTCCCCTCCCCTCTTCCAACCCCCTCCCCTTCGGGAAGGGGTTTACCCCTCCCCTCCCCTCTTCCAACCCCCTTTTGTTCCCCTTTGGGAAGGGGTTTACCCCTGCCCCTACCCCCTCCTCCTGGACCTGGACGGGGCGTTCCGCGACGCGTTGGGGCGTCCAGGATGGCCCGTGATGGTTCCAGGAGGGCCTCGGAGAGCCCACGATAAATTCCAAGATGGCTCAAGATAGCGCTAGGATCGCTCAAGATGGCTCCCAGGATGCCCCAAGAGGCCCCAAGACCGCCCCAAGACGGCTCCAAGTGGCCAAAGAGTTCCCCAAAGAGGCCTGAACGAGCCAAAATCCTTTCAAAACCCGAGGGAAATCAATGTCTTTTACTTTCTCGCCTTTTCTCTTCCGATGGCCTTCCGAGGCTTCAGTACAGGTCCAAGAGGGCCCATGAGGGCCCCAAGAGAGGCCCAAGAGAGCCCCCCCAAGAGCGCTCCAATATCGCCTTTCGAGGGGCCCAAGACGTGATGGTTTGGGCTCCCGAGGGGGGGTCGCTAATTAAGGAACCCATCGTTTTTGATCCATGCCTTCCAAGATGGCCCCTAGAGGCGCACAGGAGGCCCGAAGAGGCCCCAAGATGGCCCCAAGAGGCCCCCAAGAGGCCCCCACGAGGACCCCAAGCGGACCCAAGAAGCCCCTCCGAGGCACCCAAGACGCGCTCTTCTGTATGTTCCCCCCACTTCCCTGATCACCTCAACTCCTCCTCCTCCTCCTCATCATCATCCTCCTCCTCCCCTGGGCATCGTTTCTGGGCGGGCTGGTAGGGATTTCTTTGTCGCGGATGCGGCGAGCGCGCCAGCAGCATCAGTAGCGTCGCTCGGGCCGCGGGCGCCCTGTTTGCCCGCGCGCGCGCCGAGCTGGCAGGCAAAGCTACCGCTGGGGGGGAGCTGCGCCGAGGCAGAGCTGCGCCAGGGGGTGGAAGCTGCCATCGCAGGCTTAAAGATTGACAGCAACACCAATATCGAAGGCGTGCATCCACCGAGGGAAGAAGATCCCGATCTCGGTGATGGTGGTAATATTTGGTTTCCAAGGTGGCCGAAATATTACCACCAACACCAAAATCTAGGATCACCTCCCCCCTGTGAAGGCAACCCCCCTAAGTTGGTGTTGGTGCCCATTCCCAGGCCTCCAATGCCAGCTGCGGAGGCGCAAACTGGTAGGGATACTTTTTGGTCAGCGGCCGCGGGCGAGCGCGCCAGCGGCGGGTCCAGTCAAAGCGGGGCACGCAACGACGAATTAGCCTAAAGCGACGGGGCGCAGCCTCACCTCAAGCGCCGGGGCGGAGCCTCACGCAGCACCTCAGCGGCGGGCCAGCGAGTGGAGGGGACTGGCTGTGGCTGAATACCAGTACTGCCAGGGTGCACGCGTGCAACGCGTCGGGAGCTGCAGGTAGTCGGGAAGACCGGCGACCAGCGGCGGACCGACGAATAGGCAGCTGAAACTGAGTCGTACTGCCATCGTGCAAGTCTGCATAGCGTCGGAAGCACCAGGAAGTCGGGACACACGACGACCCGGGCCAGAAGCCGAAATAAATGCAAAGACGCATCCCCGGACAACAGTGCGAGAACCAGGGTGGCCCGAAGGACCGACGGTCAAGGTCGAATTAATGCCGAGAACTTGTAGGGATACTTTTTTTTCCTCGCGGGCGCAAGCGAAATCGCAGGCGCCGTGGTGAAAGGTCCGGGCCGCGGGCCGATCTAATTACACGCGCGGGCGTGGCTGCCTAAGCGGGCGGGCTGCCTAACAATTTTCGTGACCTAGAGAGCAGCTGCGAGGCTGGCATTGAATTATGGCGAGTTGCACGGGGCCGCAGCTGAACGGGTGCGGAGACTCTTCGTTCAAGTCCTTCCCTTCTTGGGTTCCGCCTTCTTGCTAGCTGTCTTACAGGCGAGATCGTTGGCATCCTCAAGCAGCTGCAGGAGGAGATGCAGGCAGACCTTGGCGAGGCGCGATGCTAGGACGCTCGGCTGATGACCGCATATTCTTTTGCCCACTGCGAGATTGAGGATCGAGGTATGCTAAGATGTAGAGGGGATGTGCTGCATAATGCTGAACTTCCTCCTGTGCATCAGTCTACGTCCATCACCGATGCACTACCCCACGCCGCCCTTTCCCGTCACCCCATTTCGCATCCCCAGATCCTTGCCGTAGCGAGGAGGATGATCGAGGAGTGCGGTACCATACATGATGATGGTGATGCTGATGAATATGACAATGATGATGTTGATGATGATGACGATGAGGATGATGATAAATATACTGATGCTACCGATGAAAGTGATGATGCTTCTGCTGCTGCTGCTGATGATGATGATGCTCATGATAATGGTGATGACGATGGCGACGACGATGCTAATGACGATGGTGCTGGTGATGCTGATGGTGATGCTGATGCTGCTGATGATGATTATGCTGATGATGCTAATGATCATTATGTTGATACTATGATGTTAATGATGACGACGGTGATGGTGCTGATGATAATGATGAGGAGGAGGAGGAGGGTGAGGATTATGATGAAGAGTATGATGCACGAGGGAGATTGAG